CTTTTGATTGAGAAGTCTGATCGAAAAAGTACGAATTGATTTGGATTCTACGCACCCAAATTAAAAAAAGTGTTTTCCTGAGAAATTTTGGTGTAGTCGATTTTTGGTAAAAAAGGAAGGTTACACTGCCTTTTTTTGAGCCCCGAAGAAAAAATTGTCTCAGATCGACCCGGAAGAAAATTTTCTTATAGAATGTGGCCTGTAGAATCCATAATTTCAAACAGTTCCAAGATTGGGCTACTAGTTCAAAAGTTACAGGCCTTTGAATTTTTTTTCGAAATTCGTTTCTAGTCTATAACTTTTGATTGAGAAGTCTGATCGAAAAAGTACGAATTGATTTGGATTCTACGCACCCAAATTAATAAGAAAAAGTGTTTCCCGAGAAATGTTGGTGTAGTCGATTTTTGGTTAAAAAAGGAAGGTTATACACTGCCCTTTTTTGAGCCCCGGAAAAAAAATTGTCTCAGATCGATCCGGAAAAAAATTTTCTTATAGAATGTGGCCTGTAGAATCCATAATTTCAAACAGTTCCAAGATTAGGCTACTAGATCAAAAATTACAGCCCTTTGAATTTTCTTTCGAAATTGGTTTCTAGTCTATAACTTTTGATTGAGAAGTCTGATCGAAAAAGTACGAATTGTTTTGGATTCTACGCACCCCAATTAATAAGAAAAAGTGTTTTCGCGAGAAATTTTGGTTTAGTCGATTTTTGGTAAAAAAGGAAGGTTATACACTGCCTTTTTTTGAGGGGTGAAAAAAAATTGTCTCAGATCGACCCGGAAAAAAATTTTCTTATAGAATGTGGCCTGTAGAATCCATAATTTCAAACAGTTCCAAGATTGGGCTACTAGTCCAAAAGTTACAGCCCTTTGAATTTTCTTTCGAAATTGGTTTCTAGTCTATAACTTTTGATTGAGAAGTCTGATCGAAAAAGTGAGAATTGTTTTGGATTCTACGCACCAAAATTAATAAGAAAAAGTGTTTTCGCGAGAAATTTTGGTTTAGTCGATTTTTGGTAAAAAAGGAAGGTTATACACTGCCTTTTTTTGAGACTCGAAGAAAAATTGTCTCAGATCGACCCGGAAAAAAAATTTCTAATAGAATGTGGCCTGTAGAATCCATAATTTCAAACAGTTCCAAGATTGGGCTACTAGTTCAAAAGTTACAGCCCTTTGAAATTTCTTTCGAAATTGGTTTCTAGTCCATAACTTTTGATTGAGAAGTCCGATCGAAAAAGTACGAATTGTTTTGGATCCTACGCACCAAAATTAATAAGAAAAAGTGTTTTCCCGAGAAATTTTGGTGCAGTCGATTTTTGGTAAAAAAGGAAGGTTATACACTACCTTTTTTTGAGCCCCGAAAAAAAAATTGTCTCAGATCGACCCGGAAAAAAATTTTCTTATAGAATGTGGCCTGTAGAACCCATAATTTCAAACAGTTCCAAGATTGGGCTACTAGTTCAAAAGTTACAGCCCTTTGAATTTTCTTTCGAAATTGGTTCTAGTCTATAACTTTTGATTGAGAAGTCTGATCGAAAAAGTACGAATTGTTTTGGATTCTACGCACCAAAATTAATAAGAAAAAGTGTTTTCGCGAGAAATTTTGGTGTAGTCGATTTTTGGTAAAAAAGGAAGGTTACACTGCCTTTTTTTGAGGCTAAAAAAAAATTGTCTCAGATCGACCCAGAAAAAAATTTTCTTATACTATGGGTAACCGTTATCAATACAACAAGACGCCATTTTGCATTCTAAACGCACCTACAACTTTCAAGAGATTCATGAGCGCAACATTATCCAGCCTATCACCAGAAATGTGTATGATCTACTTGGACGATTGTAGCGTTATGACGCGCACTGTTAGATGTAACTGCATGAATCAGGCTGGCTAAACTTAAATGTTTAAAATATTACCAAAATGTATTATCAAAATCGGACATCCACTTGTAATCGTACGCCTTGAGCGGATAGTGTACACGTTTTCAAAATTGGTTACGTTACAACAATTGAATTTATACCGATAGGAAGTTTGATTGATTTGAAAAAAAAGGTCTTTAGTACCGCAAGTTTAATTAAAAGGATATATAATTATCTAAATCAAAACATTTTAGTGTTTTTACTGGATTTTGGAACCCTGGAAGAAATTATTAATAAAAAAAAAAGAAATTAGGTACGTACCAGCTCCGTCTTCACTCTAAACCAATTAGAAGTCAGCATCGTGATAGTTCGTCTTCACTAATTAGCAGCCAGCTTCTTGGTAATTCGTCAGATCTTCACTTCAGCCTCAAAAATTCATTGGAACGACAGGCCTTGAAAGTAACTACAAGGTTAGCCACAGTCGAGGTTTTTTCACAAAAAAAATAGTTACATATTGCATTTATGTAAGAAGTACCTTTTTTTTTGTTTTTTTGCATCATTTAACAGTGTACAATATTAAATTAGTTAAATAGTTAAATATTTTATGGACGTGAGCATTATTTATCTTCTTTTGTTGCTGAGCTTGAGTTCGTTTAGGTTAAAAATTTACTTCAATAGCTACTTGCTTTAATTTTATTTTATGTTAATTTAGTTACACGGCTTCTAATTTTATTTATGTACGGATAGCGCTATTTTTTTTCCTTATGTTTTCCTGCCGTGTATTGAGAATTAAGAATCTAGGCTGGAAAATATTCGCCTTCAGAAAAGCGCGACCCGCGAATAATTGAACTTAAAGAAACTCGCTCTGAGGGCAATTGCTGTCTACACACCCTTCTACTTTTGTGACTAAATGGGATTTCCAAAATTCCCAATATCGTGGTGTCCCTACTTATTCGGCTACCAGGAAAATTCGCTCTCTCATCGAACATCTCTACGATCGATGAGTAATATTGTATGCCTAGGCATAAAGATAAATGTACAAGCGATATCACGATTTCAAAGACGACTTCTTTTGGAAGAAAATACTATAAGGCTGTGAGTCAAATTTTTCTAGAACGAATATTTTCGATGGTCAACCTTCCGGAAAATTAATTCTATGGCAAATATTTCGGGGCAAACCTCGAGAAGCGAGGCGAATTTATCATGCCTAATATTACAATATATGTAAATTGGTGTTTAGAGCTACATTCCTCCCATCTTAGGTAAAAACAGCGTATGCAGAGTGATCTTGTAAAACGAGGAAAAATAGAATTGGGCATTTCTCGAGGAAATGATGTAATAAGAAGCGAAAACCATCATGTTTACCTAAAATGGCAGATGATTTAGACTATTTAGAGTCATTTCCAGTACGCATCCGTTATACAGGGTGTTCCTAAATGTGATGGAAATACGGAAGGACCTAATTCATCGTTTATTTTATGGCTAAAAGTTCATATAATCTACAAGGCGCTATAGTCCGTACACTGTACCAATTTAAAACTTTAATTTATAAACCTATGCAAACACAAGGTACCATTTTCAATGCCAACGGTTCTTGTTTCACAACCGAGTTCACAACTACTAGTGGCGCACCGAAAAATATTCAAGGCTAGAAAATGCATGTATGATATGAACAATGATGTAAGCCCTTTAGCGTACCTAACTCATATTTCAAAGTTGTGCAACATATCTCAAAAACTGCAGGAGATATATTTAGGAACACCCTTATATGCATTCAACTTTTTTGTTTTCGTAACACGCACTTTGAGCGCACAAAGAATGGTTAATGAGCTGAAATTACGTGGGCGTCTGCCATAGGCGCATTCTTTGAGACAATATTTATTTACGTCAAAGAATTTCTTTATTGAACACAACTTTTTTGACGCGGCGTTTTTGTCTACTACGCGAAGGCATGCAAGTTGTATGCAAATGCACTGTTCAATTTCTTATTGAAAATGCCACAGATTGCGGGTGCACTTTTTTCTTCAATTCCAAATGGATCATGAATTCAATTATATCGGTGGACCAGTATCAGTTTAATATTTCTGGGCGTTGTGCCAGAAGAACTCTAGAACATTTTAAATTAATTTGTTCAATGTGTGTTATTGATCTCGCGAACGCCCCCGTTCAAAGATAGCGATATTACGTTTTGATTGTGAAGCGTTTAGCTCATGAATAAGGAGCAGGCCGGGAAGTGACGTTGAGTGGACTGTGATATTGCTTCGACTTGAGACGCCACGCTCTCCTAGGATACGGCAGGGGTGGCTCGTGCCAATACCTATCTTTTTAGCTTGTTATCCCTATAATTTGAGGTAATAGTAGACGCAACCGGTTGTGCAAGCCTAAAAGGCCGGTTCCATTTTCGCTGTAAGGAGAGCGTTACGGTTTAATTCCACCGTGAGCCTTGGAGACGAGCCGCCCCTCATTCCAGCTCCCATTGTTCTATGATATTAAGAAAGACGTGATAATTTCTGCCGATGACATCAATTTCTCTTAACGTATCGAAATTTCGCCCATTTAAAGGAATGCCAATGCAGTGCAGGTTTTGATCCTTGTAGAATTGCTCAAGGATTAAACGTAAGAAGCTTTGTCGCTGTTTGGTCACGTATTCGGTATTTGCTACTTATATTTCTATTTTACGACAAATTGTGTACGAATGGGAAACATTTCGTGATGTCACTACGAAAAAAACTGATACACGCATTAGCCTTAATGGAAAAGCAAGGATTTATGTTTAATCTGATTATATTTATTGGATAGTAGCATTTACGTCGGGGGGTTGTTTGCTACAAAAAGGGGGTTTTACTCGCGGCATTCGTCAAATTGTCACGAGACAATTATTAATGGGTGGCAATTCGATTTTATCGTCCATCTCTCTTGCAAGCTTTCTGGTGATGATGATGGGGAAATACATTAACATGCATGCGGCCCCACATCGCGTCGACCTAGTCATTACACGCCATGAAAGCCGGCGTTAAAATGTATTACACAAGTCTTTTAGGGTACATTTATCATAAAACGTTTTAGGCGACTACATTACGGCGTGTTTTGTTCAGAAATTTGTCGCGGGGAAATTGTAGTAATGCCTTTTCTGTTCTTATAGGAACGTTCGATATGAAGAATTCGGCCTGCAAAAACAAAAGAGCAGCATGGACGAAGGGGGTGACTACCCGAGCTCGCCGGACAGTCTCCCCGAACCTGAACGTCCACCTCTTCGCCACATCGACAAGTACATCAGACCCGAATGCCCGTGTCTCAGCAAAAGGGTAACCGTCGCCGTTCTCACCTGTATGGGTTTCATCATCATGTTCGGAATGAGGTGCAACATGGGCATGGCAAAGGTTAAGATGGAAGAAGGGGTTAGTAAAATTCGAGCAATATTGAACGATTGGCGCTAGTTTGACGGATTGCACCCTCGCTGCGGAAACGGAAGTGCCCCGGCTCTCTAAAAGGGTGACTCGATTCAAGCTGGCTCGTAACAATACCGAAAGATATATTTTTTCCTATCGTTAACGATGACTGCGTTTTTATTCTTTTAGAAAGCTAAAATGAAATGGTCGGTCACCACCAGCTCCGCAGTGGACGCGTCGATATTCTGGGGTTACTTTATAACGCAAATACCCGGCGGTTTTTTAGCTGCAAGATATCCACCTAATCGATTATTTGGTGCCGCAATCGGATGCTCTTCCTTACTACACTTCTTTGTACCCAGCGCTATGGAACTTCAAAATCCCGGACTTGCAATTACCATTAGGGTTATGCAAGGTCTGGTAGAGGTAAGCATCGTCGATTTTCAAAGATGGCACTACGTTTGCGTTGCAGGGCGTGACCTATCCAGCGTGCCACGGTATCTGGCGTTACTGGGCGCCGCCGCTGGAACGTTCCCGCTTGGCTACCTTGGCGTTTTGCGGTTGCTACGCTGGTTTAATGTTCTCAATGCCCATTACCGGCGAACTCATAAAACGTATAGGTTGGCATTCGCCCTTTTACTTTTATGGGAGCGTTGGTATCTTGTGGTACCTATCGTGGTTATGGTTGGTCTTCGAAAAACCCTGCAAGCATCCTACGATTGAAGCACGAGAACTTATGTACATAGAAAACTCGTTAGGCGGCGCCGCTCAATCTCATACGATACCGAGCATTACGAATACACCGTGGAAAGCCTTTTTTACTTCCATGCCCGTTTATGCAATTTTTGTAGCAAATTTTTGCCGATCGTACAACTTTTACCTTTTAGTGTTATTCCAAGCGCTTTACTTTACATCGAGGTGGGAGATGGATATTGAAAAGGTTGGTTCTGAAAAACCTGCAAGGAGGTATTAAGCCAGATTGTGTTTCAGAATGCATTTTTGGGCGCATTTCCTCATCTGCTGATGACCATAATTGTACCCACCGGAGGAGTTTTGGCGGATTATTTAAGAAAACGAGAAATACTAACAACAACGCAAGTGAGGAAGCTGTTCAACTGTGGAGGTTTCGGAATGGAAGCGACGTTCTTCCTAGTTGTTGCCTATGCCACATCATCAACGGCTGCCGTTATAGCTCTAAGCTGTGGCGTGGCCTTCAGCGGATTCGCCATATCCGGATACAACGTCAATCACTTAGATATAGCACCAAAGTACGCTAGTATATTAATGGGTTTATCGAATGGAATCGGTAGTATAGCTGGATGTATCTGCCCCTACGCAGTCGATTTAATTTTAACAGAAAAAGTAAGTCTGCGAAACGCAATTTTAACAAAGACGTCATTTTTATTACGCACGAACGCGCTTGGTAACCGAGAACAATGATATCGCATTCGAAATATGACGGTGGAATGATGTGCATACAGAAAGTTCATTTCGCCGGACGCAATCAGAGTCAGTCGTGTGAAACTGGGGAAGAACCCCTGTAATATATATACAGATACTTTCGCTCGAAAGATATGCGTATAGCAATTTTATTTCCGAAATGTTCACTTCATATTTAAACTATCCCTTTCATTCGATATAGTCAATGACGTTACCGTCCAATTGAAAATTGCCGGAGAAAATAATTACTTTTGTGAACAATACCGGGTGTTCCAAAAAGACTGATGATTAATTAATTGCTGGGGCGTATTTGACATGCATGTAATTTACAATGTGGCAAGTACCAGTGCCATTTCCAAGCATTAGTTACATATTTGAGTATGGCAATGATTATTCTACTCAGCGCTTAATATTATCGAACACTTGTTCAGGATATCCCACAAAGTTCTTCGGTGAGTAATTATCGAAGTTCAAGTGGGGACTATTTTGAAAGATGTTGTTCTTTAACGTAGAAAACAGGGAAAAAATCTAATGAAGTTAAATCTGTAAAATGCAACATCCTGTTGACAAACTCTTTTCCTCAACTCGTCATCGTGACGCTGATGAGTATTTGAAGAATTGAAAAAAATGGGACTAACTGCGTTTTTGAGACAACTGCTAACTTTTAGAATGAAAATTAGTCTCCTTAAAATTTATGTGCCTTTTCACTTCCCCACTATCGACACTTTCGTCGCTCATAAACGTTAATTTTAAAATATCATCATTTAGGTTGTTGGTAAACCATTTCTTCTTCTACTATAGTAAGGAGCGTGTAACTGCTGAACAACAGAAACTTGGTAGGGGTGCAGGTGTACAATTCGATAACACGTTGACATACATTCATACATATATCGAGTGATCGTAAAGTAGTGCGGACAGTTTAAATTTGCCACAAAACAAAAAATGTTTAAAGTTGGTAACGACAGTAAAATTAACTAAGAAAATTAGAAAACACTAGAATCATACGCCTGAAATTCAAACGATCCGGTGTTTTTTTAGAACATCCGATTTGTTTTTTGCATAGCGAATGTCATTTCTTTACACGTGGATGTTTTACAAGGCATGACCCATCGGCCAGTGCCTAAAACTACAGGAAATATTGTAAGGTTAACTGTGGTTCTGGTACTTGCGAGCGACCTATAAAAAATTAGAAAATCCAAAGATTGCCAATAAATTGATTTTAAAGAACTATTCCATTTTCATATAAATCAACAATTATTTTTTTTAAAACTTGTGTTAACTCAAAGAATTAATCCAATGCATCTTTTATTTTTGAAACGTATTTCTAGCATTAGGATTGTAAATTATATCACAGATATTACTTCCTTAACATATCTCAATTACGTTAGTAAGCAGGAAATGCTGATGCCTCAGCTTTGCCTAGCTTGTTTGATTATCTTGTGTTTTGCTTCCTAGTAGTCTATATAGTTCCGTAGATTTTACCGCTAACCAGGAGGTTTTCTTTCCGCACAAATCTTCTTGTAATTTTGGACCAGTTAGCATCATTACGTTCTCGCTTTTTCATGGTAGTCGCTGAGGCGTCAAACACAACACGTAATATTGTGGTGAAGCTTTCCGCTTTTAGCACTATATGGTGGGTAATGTAGTATGCTCCAAGTGCCTCCCCTGCATTTCGAAGTACAATATGTCTTAGCTCGACATTCTTTTGCAGAAAAACCTTGAACCCGGTCCCGTTCGTAGATTGTATATTGTAGACTGTATATTGAAAAAGGGAAAAATTGGGAGTCCAATAATTCCTTAACAAAATAAATGCTTGACCTCAGTGTCTATATTGAGCAAATATTGTTTTTTTTTAGAATACAAGCAATAAAGATTATTTTGAATAGCGGATGGCACGACAGTGCAATTACAGAATCACCGATTTGAATTAAATTGCGGATAATAATAATTTTCTTATTTAAACTTAACTTGGCCTACCATTTTTCAATTGTTAGGCCTTTTTATGGATAAGGTTTCCTACTTGAAATCATAGTAAAAACAGAATCCTTTGAGCTAACCTCACGCTCTTCACCCGCACCCGAGTTCCGTTGCCAACTTTGGATTTAGTGCACTCAAAGCCCTTATAGCCTACGAAACGTCCAGCTATTGGTCCCTTTTTAGTATTTTTGCGGCTACAATCTGACTGTACTGTAGGTCGAACGAGGAGAAAGGAAACTGATTCTATTTTAAAAATTTCTATGCAAATTTCAAAAACCTAAAAGAGAGAAAAACGCTACGCGGGACAAAAAGTGACAGTGAACACTGAATTGTTAAACACAATTTAATGATTAATGGTTACCTTTATATGTGCATTTTGGTTCTTTCACCACATTTTACACTCATTTTAGATGGTTTTCCATATATCTTTTTTAATTTAGGCAGTCATTTCCTTACAGCATGTTCCGCAGAGTTTTAAACGATCTTTTCTACGTCGTAGTTTTGAACGAGAACAAGTCTTTTCTTTCAAATTTGTACTTTAACATTGAAATTGCTATAACTGATTACCGGAGTACAAATAATAGCGTATATACCACAGGACTAAAGTCAACTACGTTTCGGGCCACAATCCGCACCCCGGGATTAAAACACGTACTTTAGTCTCTTGGTATATAATATACTATTATACCCTCGTCCCAAACTCTCCGGTACGTTCGTCTATCCGAAAAATTAACCATAGGATTAATCCCCACTCTCCGATTTCCTACGATGAACATTATCTCCAAGAGCATAGACTCCAAATGAGATTCACTGTAAGTTAATTCACACCAATGCATTTAATTTGTGGTTTCCACGACAGAATGCGGTATTCTTTTTTACATTTCGATATATGCTCTACATCACAAGAAGTAGGTATCTTTTTTAAGTTGAATGTGAACCCTTTTTTCCCCTAAAAGTCTGTCATTTGAAGGAACTGGAAACGAAAGGATTCTAACCAGCGGAAGATTTAGAGAAGTCTGTGAAGGATCTGAAAAATCCTAAGAAAGTAATGAATCTGAAGAACTGAAATAATAATTTTGAAGAATCTGAAGAGAGTGGTGGTTCAAAAAAAGCGGATATTTGGAGAGTTTGAAGTATTTGAATTCTTGAAGAAATTGAGATCAATCACTCGAGAATGAAGGGTCTGAAAAATCCGAGGAATGTAAACAATTTGAGAGATTTAAAGAAACGGTAGGGTACGAAGGATCTGAAAAATATGTACATTTACGCAACCTATAAAGACACAGGAAGAACAGAAGAATCCAAATCCGACGATTGGAGATCCGAAGAACGGACCCGAGAAATGTAGAGAAACAAAAGAATCTTAAGGTACAGAATATTCTACAGAACCTGAAGGAATGTTTAACTGGGGACATTATTAAGCTTTATTCAATGTACCTAAGGAGGGATATTGAGTATATTGGGATAAAGATTTATTGTATGGATATTTCTTATCATATATACAAGGGAGTCCCGTGACTCGATGGATATAGCTTAACACCATACTCATTGGTTAATTTTAAGTGGTTAAGGAGTTACGGGCAATATTAAATTTAACAATAAATCGATCTAAGTAGGCCATGTAATTGTTTTGTCATATTGTTATGGTGACATTGTCTATTCTTTGACGTTGTATTTTTAAGATTAAATTGATATGCCTACTTTTTCAGATCAAGAATATATGAATATTCACTTTATTTACGGGTACTATGGCTAAAATGCAAGAGCGGTGGTCAGAGAGGATTCCCTCATTCATCAGCCTGATCGAAGAATACCTAATAGGCCATATCAATTCAATCTTAAAATTAAAACGTCAAAGAATAAACAATGTCGCCATAACAATATGACAAAACAATTACATGACCTACTAGATTGATTTATTGTTAAATTTAATATTGGCCATAACATCTTAACTATTGAGTCTTGGACAAAGTGTATAAGGACTTAAAATGTACCAAGGAATATGGTGTTAAGCTATGTCCATCGAGTCGCGGGACACCCTGTATATAAATATAATGAGGTCGATCAACAGGAATCTCTTCAATATATTACAACACTTACTATCACGTCCTTAGATATTTTGTGTGGTCGGCATTGGAGGGGCCTGTTCAGCTTTTAACTGCTTTTTAATATGTCCTGCTATTTACCTATCAATTTAGTACAGTATACTGGAATTAAAAATTTGTGCTTATAAACAAAGTGAAAACGAATGAAATATAAATAGCGCTCCATTATTTTAATGTAGGGGAGCTAAACTCGTGAAGGTGGCCCCCCAAAATTTATTTTTTAAGTATCTTTTTAGATACATGTGCAAACGAAAAATCGAAGTGTGCCTACGTTTGCAATCAATGTGTACACGAAGGAAGGATTTGATGTTTCATTATTTTAATGTTGGGGGGCTAACTTCACGCGGGTACTGCACAGACAAGTGTAACAACATGGGCATGTCTACCTCTTCGTTGTAACATGGGCTTAAGGAGGCCACTTTACGTTCTATGCTCGGTAACACGTCAAGCAATGTGAACAAGTTTACTTTATTGCCACTGTCCAGTAAAAAATTCGGCAACCTTTTTCGGTAGCGGCGTTTTAAGGGAAACTTTTAGGCGGACACCCTGCCTTCATTTATCGAGAGGGAGGTTCTTCGGGCTATCGGATAGTTCCATAAAAACTTCAAGGGTTTACTTACTTACTTACTTACCTTTGTTGCTAATTATGCAAATTTGAAGTGAAAACACTGAAAAAGTCAAACAAACATAGAAATGGGCTAGTTAGAACTTGAATGGGTAGGTAATTTACTCATATAGCCCCTGTGCCCCAGTACCCAACCCCAAATATTCTAAACTTTGGAGCATTATGCCGGTTACTTCTAATTAGGTTTTTTTTTGCAGTTTGCAGCTCTAAAAAGCATTATGCGGGTCACTATGTAATTGGGCAAAAGCCTGTGGAGGGCCCAGAACAATTTATTCAGTTGCGACAACCAGGTTCAGAAATTAAACGTTCTGTGTCTCTGTTAATACTGACCCACAAAACGTTGAAATGGGGCAAAAATAGCTTCTGGTCAGTTTACTTCTGTGGGACCAGAGCTGGGCAGTATTCGATTTTATAAATACTTTTTTTTGTAAATACTTTTTAGTATTCAAATCCTTTAAAGTATTCATATACTTTGTAATTAAATACTTTTATGGAAGCAGTATTTGTATTTGTAACTCAAATACTTTCACAAATATTTAGTATTCGAATACTTCGCAAAGTATTTGAATACTTAACCTTCCTTTTTTACCAAAAATCGACTACACCAAAATTTCTCGCGGAAAACACTTTTTCTTATTAATTTTGGTGCGTAGAATCCAAAACAATTCGTACTTTTTCGATGAGACTTCTCAATCAAAAGTTATAGACTAGAAACCAATTTCGAAAGAAAATTCAAAGGGCTGTAACTTTTGAACTAGTAGCCCAATCTTGGAACTGTTTGAAATTATGGATTCTACAGGCCACATTCTATAAGAAAATTTTTTTTCCGGGTCGATCTGAGACAATTTTTTTTTCGAGCCTCAAAAAAAGGCAGTGTATAACCTTCCTTTTTTACCAAAAATCGACTACACCAAAATTTCTCGGGAAAACACTTTTTCTTATTAATTTTGGTGCGTAGAATCCAAAACAATTCGTACTTTTTCGATTAGACCTCTCAATAAAAAGTTATGGACAAAAAACAAATTTCGAAAAAAAAATTCAAAGGGCTGTAACTTTTGATCTAGTAGCCCAATCTTCAAACTGTTTGAAATTATGGATTCTACGGGCCAAATTCTATAAGAAAATGCCGGTCGATCTCAGACATTTTTTTTTCCGGCCCCAAAAAAAGGCGGTACTTTTATGTTATTCAAATATTTGAGAACAATTTAGAAATGTTTAGGGAAAGTTTCCATTGTCAAAATCAAATATAAAAATCCGATACAACTGAATACCGAACGATCCTGGAGTGAAACTTTTTGACTCGATAGTCTACGTAACTTAAAAACAACGGACCTTTCTTATATCCTTAAAACCATGTGTACCAATTTTCAAAGCGATCGCACGTTTCTAAACAAACTATCATGCACACGGACAAACGGATGGTCAAAAATGGATCTGTTCCAAAATCGCTAGGATTAATTTCAGAATGGCGTACGTATCATGTGCACTACGCTTTGAAAACTGGTACACGTATTCTTAATGATATAACTGGTATAAGAAAGGTCCTGGTAGGTACCTCCTATATAATAATATAATAATAATAATACGCTTTTACTCCCCTTAAATTTGTATATAACAATAGAAATATAAAAAAAGCTAACCCCATACAAAGTATAACTTGATTTTTTAAGTAGTATTAAGACTTTTATCTAGTATACTATTTGAAATTTTTAATGTATTTGAGTGACAAGTATTTGAATACTTTTTACTGTATTCGAATACTTTTCAAAGTATTCGAATACTTTTTATAGTATTCGAATACATTCTAAAGTATTTGAATACTTTTCAATGTATCTGTATCTAGTATTCGCTTGTGCTGGACGTAAAAGTATTTAATATTCAAATACCTTTGATTTGTGTAAAGTATTTACTATTTAGTATTCAAATACCTTTTGAAAGTATTCTGCCCAGCTCTGTGTGGGACGATCACAAACTTCTCTTGGGTGCTCTCATTCCTCCACGAAATGAGTATTTTGGAGAGAGTGTCTTTCAGATGTATCTTCCGTAAGTCAATTACCGTCCGACAAACCATCTTCCAAGTAACTTTAAAACGATGTTTAGTACAGGCTATCCAACGAATCGCGTATTATTTGGCAAATTATTACGGGAATACATTTCAACAACCACACAACCGAAAGGTCTTTGAACAACATTCTTTTTTGCAGTCTGACGACGAATGGAAACTAGTTTTTATAATGGCAGCAATGGTGCATTACGTCGGCGTAGTTTTCTACGCACTCTTCGCGTCCGGCGAATTACAACCATGGGCCGAAAGCAAATCTCTCGAAGACAAGCAATGGAACCCTTACGACGCGGCCTTCGACGGTGAAATTAAAAAGTCTTCAAGCGTAAGTCTGACATTTTACCTCTCACGATCTAAGCTTGTTCGCTCCAGGTACAAAGTAACGGTCTACTGCAACGTCGTCTAAGTGGCAAAAACGTCAATTATGGCACGGTAGAGCCACCTGCCCCGCCGATAGTATCCGCTGGAAATCCGTTCGTGCAGAGCACAAATCCCTTTCGGCAGGAAGCCGTACAGCCTGAACCACACGACTCTTACATGCACGGAACTGTGGACGACAGGGAGTATTAATGTGGGCTTTGTATAAATTTAGATTTAACTGTTTTATTTTTTATAACTTTACGGAAACAACATTATGTGCATTATTATAATAATTATAGGATGATTAGTCGCCTTTCGGGTTCCGAATGCGGAACCTTAAATTGTTTATTACAAACAAATCTGCAATTGTTAGACAAGGCACTATCAGATGTATATTTATATATAAAAATAGAATTGTCAATTTAATTGCGTTTACGTTTAATTGTATATAAAAAGTTTATAATTACTCCGATCAGTATTAAGGGTAGATAGGAAAAGAATGGTTCAAGAGTTGTTAAATTTATTTCGTAACAATACGCAATAAAATCTCATAAATATATATTACGACATATCGTTTACGCTTTTCTTTATTAATTTCCTCGTGCATTTCTGCTACTTGGATGATTGTTTCCTCTGAAAGTTTTTGAAAAATTCGGTTTTCTGTAGAATAGTTAGGTTAATTATGTAATATTGAGGTGGTTGTCACTCTCACGGCTGTGCTGACAATAATTGAGACGGGTACAAAGTACCATGTCTGATCGTTGATAATAATCGAGATAATAATTAGAATATTTTTGTGCAAATGTAGACGGGCAAGTATACGGTGTGTGCAAACGTAGTGCGTCAATTGAAAAGCGGGGCGCGAATTTGTCTCATTCAATATCATGTAAATATTACGTTTTCTCTATGTGCACATAATACTTGTCAAAAAATTAGGTTATGTACAGTTATATCATTGAAACACGTCAATTGTACATTATTAAAATTAGTAACGTGTAAAGAATCGGTTGAGTTTAATTTTCTTGTTTATTTTAGGCAACATCGTTTCCTCCGTCTTATATTTCTGTATACTTCTCTCTATCTTGGTCAATAAATCTCGTAGTTGTTGTTTATTAAATAGGCAATACTTAGCGTATAGGGAGATGTCTTTCATTTGAATCGTAGATGTACCTTTCTGTTATTGTAAAAATTGTGTTAAAGCGAAGTGTCAAAAGTAGGACAATAGTGTAGAGGCAATAATTATTTAAAAAAGATACAATGCATTTCTTAAATGTTTTTCTAGACTCTTACCAGAATAAAATGTTTAGTAAATGTATCATTTTTATTCTATATAAAGGGAAAAGAATATGTGTATACCTACGAGCTCAACTTATCTGTGTTTTGACTGGCCATCGCGTATATAATTAATTGTTGATAATATTATAAACATTTTTATTGCTGTATTGTTTTTGTTGTAACTATGTATACGTATAGCGTATTAAATAAAATTATTGCAATAACAATAGTTAAGTACTTTGGAAGCGTCTTCACGTGGTGGTGGAATTGTTTGTTTTTCTTCGTTTTCGCGGGTCGCCTTGGGCAAAAGGTACTTGAGGGTTTGTCCTGACGTAGTATATGCCTCTAGCCCTGAAATAATACAGGTATTATTCTCTCAAATAGCTGGTTTGTAAGAGCTCTTAAAATATTCAAAAGAGTCGTGAATATACAACATGCATTTGGAAAGAAGGACATCACTAAAGAGATCTAAACGCAAATTTATCAAGAAGTAGCAAGGTCATCATTAATATACGAGAGCGAAGTATGGACGTTAAGCGAAAGAACAAAACCAAAATTAAGGCAATGAATATGAGATACATTAGAAGAATATAAGGAATAACTAAAAGACTAAAAAATAGAGTAGTAGTAGAAGAATTAAACATACAACCAGTAGAAAAAGTTATAGCTTTGCCACCTACCCAGAATGAGTGATGAAAAATCAGCCAAAAAAATATTTGAGGAACGAATACTAGGAAAAAACAGGGTAGAGCAAGTCAGACAGGCAGCCGAGCAGAGAGTGATAAGTTGGAGGGAAGTTGGGGTATTGGCTCAAAACAGATTAACATGGAAGAGAACAATTAGAATAAATCAGACAACATGGCCACGGATTATTAAGGACCCCCTACCTACACCCATAGGTAGTAACAGTAAGAAATGAAGGTAAATATCAAGTCCGACACCTAAAGATGTGATGATCTCATAGCGCGGTCTAGATGCGCTTCCCCTGATGGTTTGATAAGTTTCACCATTAACAAATAGTCGGATTGTTGAGACAGCGCTAATTTACTACTTTTAAATTCAGCTTTTGACAAGTTGTGTGTTCGTAAAACACTTTTGACACGTCTGTTCTGTTCAATTTAACACCGTTTCTTCGCTTCCCCGTACGTTGGGGTTTGAGAGTCAATAATTACTATAACATCGTTTCCATTAGAAAGTTATCAACAAAAAGCGACAACCAAACGTACCTATACATATTGTTTCTATTTACTGCAGCTTTGGTTTGATATTTTTGGTAGTTTAGGTGGATCAAGATGCAGTACGATGAACGAATAATAATTTTTTTGAAATTGAAGACACTTACTTGTGGGATACGTGTTCTCCCATCAACACATACTCATGGTCCTCTGGATTACACCAGCCGATCAGAAAACTGACCAAATTTGGACATGGATACGCATAAAATCCTCTGTTTGACACAATCGACTCTATGAAATACGGTGTCACTTTCGTATGATCGCATGCGACCGTCTCTGTAAGAAAAACGCTTAATAGGCCGCCAATCAGTAAGCAACTTACGGAATAATGAATCACCGCTACAACCCGGTTGACTAGATCCACCATTTATGTAGAAATCTGCATGACCATTCGGTCCCCATTGTCCTAAGATTCCCGATCCCGTGTGGAGGATGTCGACGAAATGGGCGTCGGATGCGTCGACGTCCCGTGACCGATTCCCACTCATGTAGAAGAATATGGACGGATCTAAGCCTGAAGATAATTTAATTTTAACACGTCCTTCACGAGGATTAGAAGTTTACCCGTAATCCTCCCCAATTTTCCGTCAATCTTCGGATCGAGGTAATTGGCGATAATGCCGGCGATGTGAGCCCCTATACTGTACCCGACAATGTGAATCTTGTCGGCCTTGATTCCTCGAGGATGCAAGCTTAGGTAGCGTATGAATTGGGCTATGCAAAAGGCGCAGAAACGAGGCGCCCATTCCATTTGTTTTATGCAGGGTTCGCGTACCAATGTACCGTAGTCGGCGATTATGATGTTATAGGCGCCATTCGTAAAGTACGCCTTTCTCATATCCGTACTGGGAGATAGATTCCTTCCGCCCCCAAAGCCGTGTATAACAAGCTTCGTTGGATTTTTGCGATTAAAAAGCGTGTTGTACAGTGAGTTATTGTCTAGGGAGTCGATTAGCTCTGGATGTTCTTGTGTGCGCCTATTAGTGGAAAAGTAAAATGTCAACGAACCACATTTCACATGTACCTACTTTAGATAATTGCAAATAAGTGTATTACCAACTTTCTTCCTGTACATTTCACTTTTTTCCACTTGATAACGTCATAATTATAGGTCCAATTACATAATTACGGTAACAGTTTATCGAAATGTGTTTGGAATTACACAGGAAGTTAAAGCGTCAGCAGCTAACTCACCTGGTATACAAATAGAACTGTATCTGCGGATGTGGACAAGCATAGGGCTTTGGTATGCAGGAGCTTGTATTATAAACATCCCTTACGGTGCCATTCGTTCTATCAAACCAATTTTGGGCGGCTGAAAAAGAAATTGTATCAATTTTATGTCAACTAAAAAATGTCCGGGGTGTTGGCCCTCGTTTAAGTTAGCACACGTCCCTCGAAAACCTAGGATAGACATCCTGGTGCCTGGTGTACCCCCACACAACCTGTAAAAATTGCACTAATTTTGGAATACTTTCCAGCTATCGCTTGAGGTTCGTTCACGGTAAACACCGCCAACTATGGCACTGAATTTTTTAAATCGCTTTTTATTTTGCTTAAGATTCCCTGAATTAAATTCTCGGAAAAACTGGGTAGTAGAAACCTAGAATTCCAAAAAAACTCACTGTCATGACGCAAGCGCTTTTTCACCTCTAGGATTGCGATCCAATAGAATTTTTATGTGCCTGCTTTTTTTCTAAAGGTCCCTTTTAATCGTAGTGTGGAAATCGAAACTTAATTGAAAGAATTCCATTGCTAACCTCAAGTTCGATCAGAATTCTGGGATTGTTATCCTATTGCTAACTTTAGGAGATTCTTAAATTTTTTCAGGTAGCTTCTAAGATGGGCTTTAGCAAGATTATTAAAATGTCTCGCAAGATCTCTAAGAAGCTATAAAGATTTAGAAATGTTGCTACGACTTCCACTCAAATTTTGAGCAACGCCTACTCCATCGAAGGTGTGCGGAAATGTTCCTGTCTTCAGTAAACGATTTAGACCTAGATTAAGCTAAGACAGTTGTTAAAAAGATTTTTATGGTAATTTCTAAGAGTGCAGAGAATTTTCACGTAAAGGTATCCAAAATCATTTTTTGAAAAGACTTCTAAAGCTTCTGAAATACCAAGAATAATTCTAAGAAGATTCCTAAGATGTCTATGATGCCGTTTCTTCGAAATGTTTCTTTATTTTTATTGTTTATATACTTTCTTTGAATTCATCATTAGGAATTAAATGGTCTATTAATTTGCCGTATTCATCCATGTAGTTGTTACTCCACCCGTTCCATCCCAAATAGTATTAATTCTACTTTCTTTTCTATTTTTGATGTTGTAAATTGCCCCCTCCCCACCCCCATGGTTCCTCATTACCATGTTGATTTATGAATTTTTTAAGATTTCTGTTTGCTTGTCTAACCATTTTAACATATTTTTCTCTTTCACATTTATAATTCTGTTTTAAAGATTCCTTGTTTTCTATATTTTTTCATTTTAATATTTTCTTCTTAGACTCATAATTCCTATTCTTTTATTGGTTAACTTTTTGTTCAACCAATTATTGTACGTGGCACAATTTTGGGAACTGTTTTGTCACGAATATTTTTAATGCTTTCTGTTCTATAAGTTCTATAACCGCTTGTTTAATTTCTTCATTATCTTGTAAATTATCATGTACTATGAAATTTAAATTTTTGATGGCTTTTTGATTTTCCAACTTTTGTACAGTTTGCGCTGTACAACTTTTAAAAGTACAACCCCTTACCGCACATTTGCCACATGTGTCACTCTCCTTCTTGCAAAATGTTGGAGGGTGTCCAAAACTTTGACATCTTACCAAAGAAATGAAGTTTTGTGTTTTGCAATGATTCCCATTTATTTTAAACCTTTCCCAAACTTAATAAATTTTCTCTTATCTCAGATTCTGCTTTAATAATCCAATGCACTGTGCTTTTGTCTTGAAGTTTGGCTTTATTCTTTCATTATTAATTGTATCATTAATTTTCTCTACATTCTTAGTTAAATTCTGTTTTACAATAGCCTCTAAAATATTTCCTTTTTCCAAGTCTACATCCACATCATATAAGATGAATTTTGGCCCATCAGGCTTAAGTACCCTCGTAATTAATTCCTGTTTTTTTTAAATTGGTATTATTTGCTGTTTTAATTAAATCTTCATTTTATTACAATATGATCAATTGTGTTCTGATTTTTCTTTAGATTTTCCTTAGTCGGGTTGATTATTTAATTTATTTTGAATTTCGTTACTTTTTCCCAGGACTATTACTAATAATTGCGTATGTTGTGTTTACTGAAATAATAATAATGTTTTTCTCGGTATTGCATATGAAATTGAATTTTTATTTGCAACAATTTCATCACAATTTGTGTCTAAAGTATTTTCAGTCTTATTATGCCCCTTAAATACCCCCTCAAGATATGATTTTTTTGTAGCATCAAGTTAAAAATTGTTCTTAAATGATTCGTTTTTTTCTAGTAAACTTTAGATTTATTTTTATTAATTTTACTATTCGTATTAAAGCCCAAAACTATAATATTGCTCTATGCAAGTCCTTAATGGAACTCATGACACCTAAATTGGGAATATCTGTAGGTTGTTCTAATAAATTCAGTCCGTTCTTTCTTTTTGCGTTTCTTTCTTTCTATTTTAGTTTGGTTTACGTCACTATTATCAGTATCATTAAAAATGTTTCTTTTAGATTAGGCTTTTCGTTTGTAACGCCCACTTCACTTCATGAAAAACATGGTCAATGTCATTATTACTAGTCAATTTGGTACTGTTTTGTTCACTTTGTCCACTCAATGTTCAAAATGGTCCGTATTTTATAAATAAAATGAAAATCCTACCTTATTACGGCAGGGAAGACAGCTGTCATCCGGAATTGTGGCGCTTCAACCACCTTACGGAACTTGGATCCAGGTGAATAAATATACTAATCATTAATTTATTTAGTGGGACTTTGTATTTCGCCCTCTAATTCGCCATGAAGTTAGCTGCTGTGGCCAAAGATAACAGCGGACTCGAAATTTCTAAGCGGTGATATTTTCAGCAAACGGATCCCACATTAGTTTATCCTACATGGTTTCTGTATACGCAGATCTCACCGTTTGAAAAATAGCCGATACATAATCCCATCCCGTAATTCGTATATAGATTACGTCAATTTTCAACACTGTTAGGATTTTCTATTAAATCTCTGAAAATTATAACATTTAGGAAATGTTTGAAACCTAGAGTCTCTATATCCGTCATTTAATAGTGCCTACAGATTATGCGAAGAATAACCAAAAACATTTTGAAAAATCGTTAAAATCTCTGACACGTTTTGACTAACTTCTAACAAAATTCCGATAATAGCGCTTAATAGTACATTATATATCAAGGTAGAGAAGTCCAGTATTATTGCCTGAGCACCAAGATTACATCTCGAGGCGCTTGCGCCGAGGGGGGTAAGGTGCGAAGGCAATAAGAGACTTCTCTACCGTGGTATATATACTATTTTTTTCACTACTAGCACTTGAAATCCTCTAAATTAACATATTATATTGATAAGAGAGTTAACGGTTGGACAGAATTTTTGTTTATTAATTTAACACGTCAATCAAGTACGTGGAAGTACAAGTCAAATAGGCCGTATTTTGTTCTGTCATTGAGATTTTTCAAAGAGTAATTTCGTTCGAATTTTTTCAAAATGTGATAATTTTAGGTATGTAATTTCTCTGGAAATTGCGAATGGTGGCAATTATTCGTTTTAGAGAACTTGTCTAAACGTTCATTGAGCGAAATTTCGGGTTGTGTTTTCTAAAAGTGACAGCGTGACAGTTCTCATTATTGACTACTAGTTAATAATAAAAAATTATTAACCACTTTGAACAAATGCCGAGAAAGCCTACTTTACAAGTGGAAAAAAGGTTAATAATCATGTCATCAGACGCTAGTAGTGAAAAAAATTGTTTAGACGCCACCATCAAAATTGTTGATGTTACAATTTAGATTCTAAGGTTACTTAAAGTTGTTAATGTCATAATCGGAAATTGCAAGATTGGCTTATTGGTTATGTTATTATTTATCTTGTGCAAGCCTTAGATTCTTTCCCCTATAATTGGTAGACCGCAGAAAATAATAATAAACATTTGGAATAGTCACGGTTCAATGCGACTAAGCACTATAAAAAATATCGATGGTAGGAACTACTGGCATCAATCAAAAGTGAAAGTAATTATGTCTCGAAAGATGAAATGCATTCATTATTAAAGTAAATTAATCAAACAGCAAGTGGGTATTAAACAAGGTCAATGCCTTGGCATGAGTTGCATAAAAGTGGCTTCGAGTCTGACCATCAAAAACGAGACGCTGTTTGTTTTGAGTTTAGCATCTAAAGGAAAATGGAACAAAGTCGGGTATGAGAAAAGAAAACAGAAAAAAAATGAATTATAACTTAGCTTCCAGATTCTTAGTGACGGTCTGGTAACTGCACACTAATTAAAAAAATTGCTATAAAATAATTTACGCGAAACAAAGACAACTACTTCAAGTGATAGTGCATGAGTACAAATTACGTTAAGCAAAGAAACTGGAAATACAGCAATTTGTTCAGAGCGACCTTGTACCAAATTTCCTTTTTGTTCCTTTCCGTACAGTCAGTTGACAATATTTATGTAAATAATGTGCAAGATACAGGTCAGTGGATGCCTACCTTTCCAATTGAAAAGAAAGTAAACGAATGTTACAATTTCGTAGATAAAAGGAAAACTTACCGCATATCTGAATGTAAAACAATAATAATACAAAACAGCACAGAAATTCAACTACTTGCACTTTGAAGTTTTTCAAAACTTGAGCACGTGTTCTCATCTTGCATCGAAATTACCAGTTTGTAACGTTCGTGAACAGTGAAAGTTGCTTGTTTGTTGACGGACATATACGGTGTGTGTTTAATTTTAAGAAGTTCTCATCTATTGGAAAATACTCTCACTTTATGTAAGGGGGAGAAATTATTTATGTGTAATTCGTTCAGGATGTTCACTGAAAAAAAATCGGATGTGAAGTGTCGCAACTAAACATTTTCTTGTCATAATAATATCTTATTATTTCTAATTGGTAGGTAGATTGTATGACGTAATGATATTCTGTCGTTCAGAATGTAATCGTGCTCATGCCCAAAACACAAGTTGGAATCACCATATGACAACGGAACTAGAACAGCTGTCGAGAGAAAGTGTTAAAGGGGTACCGATTTTTTCTCATCGCAGGGTCATTTCACTTGCTTCATCGTGTGGTGTGGCGCAAATACGTTAATCGGTTTTTCCACTTAACTCAATTGTACAACTTAAGTTTCTGAGGGTGAGACTTAGCTGGTTCTAATTTGCCATATTGTGGCAATAATTTTTCCTTTTTAGCGATTTAGGAAAACACCGATTTTTGCCATAGATACAAACATTATTGAAAGACTATGTACCTACAATATAATAATACTTGCAAGAATTTTTATTATTTTTCAAATGTGTACACAGCGTGTTAGATGTTTTCCAGAAAATGTTTAGATGTTATGCGCTCTTTAGAGATTTTGTAAGGATCCTACACAAGTTTTGCAAGGTCTACAATGGAATTTTTTAGAAGATCTCACTCGGGAATTTCTCAGCGATCGTGGACCTAAAATGATATTACAGACCGCTTTCGAGGCTGCTGTTCGAAACAAATGGCCATGCGCAAATCTGTAAAAGACCCGCTCATTGCTTTATATTGTTTTTTTCAGAATTTCTACAAACCTTCCAGAAATTTTCTCAGCAATTTTAGTGGTACCGGTAACGATCTGTGTAAAATTCACGAATCTCAGTAGTAATCATAAAGAGACTAAGCGGAATTTTTGGGAATTTTGAAAAACCTGCGAAGAATTCGTGAAAAGAGCGCTAGGTAGAAACTCTCCTTAAGAATATCTTGAGAGTATGTTATAAATGATTAAACATTTTCTGAAAAATATTTTTATGAGAATTTGAGACTCCCTCAAAGATCTAAACATTCTGAGAACAGGGAACAATATGCTTGCAGAATATCTGAGAAAGATCTGATGAACTTCTTAAAAGTTTTCCAATCATTTGTGTAGTATACCTAACAGGACTCCACGAAGAACATTTAAAAAAAGCTCCTCTATGGGATATTTCAAGAATAAGTAAACATTTCGTAAAAAATGCGCACATTTATTAGTGTAGAAGAAACTGAAAAGGTAACACAAACAACCCACAACAAAACTTTTATAAAACCTTTGATTCATAGATTAATTAATTTTCCACATTCACTTCAAAATTACGTAAAAGAATGGTGCCTCATAAAAGAAATTAATGCACACAATGTATTTTTCATTATAATTAATATTATTAAGTTTTTATACATTAAGATATTAATTATTGAGTACGTAAAGTACTTACATTAAACGTTTATGATGGCATGAAAGCTGAAAGAACTCACATTTCCATTTTCAAGCAAAAGCGGCCTTGTCAGGGGATTTATGTGTGAGCTGAAGGCAAAACATACCCTGTTTGTTGCCTACTTTTCGAATTTATATGCGTGCTTTCCAAATGAGACCTGTTTAAGGAAAAACTTGGACAGATTAAGATGTTAAGACCGTATCGGCGACTAAATTTCGGTCTTTCGCTAGTCCCACTCCTCGACTACACCAAAATTTCTCGGGAAAACATTTTTTCTTATTAATTTTGGTGCGTAGAATCTAAAACAATTCGTACTTTTTCGATTAGACTTCTCAATCAAAAGTTATAGACTAGAAACCAATTTCGAAAGAAAATTCAAAGGACTGTAACTTTTGAACTAGTAGCCCAATCTTGGAACTGTTTGAAATTATGGATTCTACAGGCCACATTCTATAAGAAAATGTTTTTTTTCCCGATCGATCTCAGACAATTTTTTTCCGGCCTCAAAAAAAGGCAGTACTTTTAAGTTATTCAAATATTTGAGAACAATTTAGAAATGTTTAGGGAAAGTTTCCATTGTCACAAAATCAAATATAAAAATCCGATCCATCTGAATACCGAACTCGATAGTCTACGTAACTTAAAACAATAGGGACCTTTCTTATATCCTTAAGACCATATGTACCAATTTTCAAAGCGATCGCACGTTTCTAAACAAGTTATTATGCACACGGACAAACGGATGGTCAAAAATGGATCTGTTCCAAAATCGCTAGGATTAATTTCAGAAAGGCGTACGTATCATGTGCACGACGTACGATCGCTTTGAAAACTGGTACACGTATTCTTAAGGATATAACTGGTATAAGAAGGGTCCTGGTAGGTACCTCCTATATAATAATATAATAATAATAATACGCTTTTTACTCCCCTTAAATTTGTATATAACAATAGAAATATAAAAAAAGCTAACCCCATACAAAGTATAACTTGATTTTTTAAGTAGTATTAAGCCTTTTATCTAGTATACTATTTTAAATTTTTAATGGATTTGAGTGACAAGTATTTGAATACTTTTTACTGTATTCGAATACTTTTCAAAGTAAGATAATGAAATACTTTTCAAAGTATTCGAATACTTTTTATAGTATTCGAATACCTTTGATATTATTAGCAAAGAGTAACCATAATACTCTTTGGTATTAGAATACTTTTGAAACTATTCGAATACATTCTAAAGTATTTGAATACTTATTTTTTTAAGTATTTGAATACTTTTCAATGTATCTGTATCTAGTATTCGCTTGTGCTGGACGTAAAGATATTTAGTATTCAAATACCTTTGATTTGTGTAAAGTATTTACTATTTAGTATTCAAATACTTTTTGAAAGTATTCTGCCCAGCTCTG